GCCAAATTAGTATGAGAATTTTCCTGATAGGTTTTTTTAAATAGAAAGTAATTAACTGCGAGGGTAATTATTGTTAATTTAATCTGCGTGGCAATTTGCATGTGTATCTTCAAGTCCAATGTTATTGATCTTTCCGACACGGCACCGGATCATTTACCAAGCTACAGGAAGCCCAAAAGCTTCTTTTATTCCCTTTACACTAATCTGATGCTGAAGTGTTAGAAGCGGAGGGGCCCGCGACGGAACGGAATGTTATTTTTAACAGACCGTCAACTTCGATTTAATAAATTATATCCAAGTCGAAAGTTGACAGCGGTGTTTAAAATAACATACATCTCTGCTTCTTGTCTTCTCGCTGGACTTTTTGATGCGGCTTCTCTGAAAAGAATCTCGGCCGAAGCTGTGCTTTGATTTGTTTGATTGTACGCTATAAATCATTGCTGTATGTAATGAAATTGTCATAATATCTGGATTTATATGCGAAATGATAATATATACTTTCTCGAGTCTGTTTCCTAAAACACCACTATGTTTCTATTAGATATAGATACATTTTTAGGCGCTATAATATATTATCTAGATAGGAATTACATTAGACGGAGAATGTACCAAAGCTTGTAGTTTGAGCTGTGTTTAGGTAGATAGAAGGTTGGCGAGCATTAAGTCAATATTGATGAACTGTTTCTTGACAATTATTATCGTTTTTTTGTTAAAAATATAAATGTCAAACCAGAAACAATATCGAGAAAGGACGCGTGTTCATGACATAGACTAGCTTTCATTTCTTGGTAATAAGATAACCTACAGATTGTTATAAAGAATTGTTAGCTTTGTTCCGACACAGTGGGAAACCGTACAATGTACCTTCACGATCCTGCGCAAAACCTGAAATTTGTACGCAGAATCCGAAATTCAGTTTTTGTTATTTTGCTATATTTACTGGGGAAAAAAAAAGGTAACATGGGTCTAGGTAAAAAAGTTAAATACAATAAGAACAAAGTTTATATTTTAAAAGCGACAATTCAGAAGAAAAAAAAATATGTATTATTCGTCAATAATTTATGAAGCAACGGTATTATTACGGCGCTTGGTATACAAAAGTACAAAGTAGTGCAGATTATTACCCAAGTCTCATATCATCAAAAGGTAAAATTATTGAGCGGCAAATAAGGCTGAGACAGTTACAACGAGAACCTCGTTTTTGCCATCAAACACAATTACGATGATCAGCGAGGATCGCATGATAAAGAAATCGAACATTCACCGAATTCCACGAGGGAGAAAAAAAAAATTAATAACAAAACGTAAAGAAAAAGGTATACAAAAGTTAAGCCGAATTCTCTGCTGTAGGTGAGGACAGACGCGGGGCATCCAATCGCCCATATCGAGTCCTTGATCTGGTCCACAGGGTTTTTTACTGGCACTAATGAGTCGGTCCGGTGTCGGCATGGTACCACAAAGGCGGCATATTAGTCACACCTGCCTGATACTACCAGAGAGCAAAAGAGCGCATTACACAGAGCCTTCTCTCGGACCAACCGAAGGAATGATTTGGCATTATCATTAATAATAATAATACGTCGTACCGTACCACTTGTCTTCATACGTTTGCATTTGCGGGGCTAAACTATGACCGGGAAAAATATGATTTTTTCTGCCTGGTTGAGATATGAGACCACCCAATGGTCGGGCGATAATTAGGTTTTGTATTAGAACCTTGGGAACAGATATAGACTGAGGGCACGAAAAAATTGCTTCATGATAGTTGAACATAACCACAGAAACATGCTTCTAGCTGTTAGAACTTGCGGTCATCCATCATCAAAAAACAGTTATTAAAAACATTCTCACACATGCCGTCTTTATGATAATAGAGTCGTCATTCAGGCCCTAATCCACGGCAATCAAACATTATAGGTAGGTTTTGTTACCGCACAGGAAACAATTTATATTATACCCTTTATAATAAATAAATTTGTTTCCTTTCTCTCGACGCTAATAGCCCTTTTCGGGGTGGTAAAAATTACACCACCGCCACCACCTACGGAGACTGCGGTTTATTTTATGTTTTTCAATTTCGGACAGCTGTTGCCTACGCCTTTTGGTTATTGATATATCAATTTAACGTCAAATGAAATGGAACACCAAGCTTCTTGTTTTCAAGAGCTCCCAGTATCCATGTTTAAAATTTGCTAACAATAAATCAAAAGAACATAACCTACTCAGGTAGCAATTTCACTTTGCATAACTAAACGTCGTCAGTCACAATGGTCTTAAGACCACTATACGGCCGGGTCGTTTTGACGTTTTCAAGCGATTATATAAAAAAGGCACAAGAAAGTACTAAAGTTTGACAACCTACCAGATGGTCAGGTGACATTAGAAGAATATAATATTGGATTTAAACTGCACAGAATAGGAAGAAAATTTGTTAATTAGTGGACACCGGTATACCCAAGGGATTTCTGTCTCTTTCTGTATCCTGGAGCGGTTGCTATCTAATTTATGCTAACTCGTTTCATCGAGTTGGCGGTCGACGTTGGCGATTTTATCCTTTCTTGGTCGCCACGAAATTGCGAAGTTTGCCATATGCTTACTATACCAGTGTTATCCTCCTGGAGAATTCTGCTGATGTTTGGTCATGTATACCAATCATCACCTCATAGCTCAGGTAGATGACTGAGATTTTTTCAATAGATACTGATGCACTCTTGGTTCAAGAAGTTTACTTTAATAGTGTCATTTCTTGCTTGACACCTCTTTTTGAACTAATCTATTTTGTAGAGGATTGATTGTTGGACATGGTTAGGGCGTTTTTGTATACTAGGTACATTTTTGTGATTACCTGATTCATATTATTCGACTTCTCATAGGAATTGGACATTTTTGTCTTCCTCATTTCACCATACGGATAAATTTGAAGCAAACTTGTAGATTGTAAATTGCATTATAACAGTCATTAGAGTTTGTTCCAACCGCTCAAGCACTGCTACTTACCTGTCTAGTAATTTTGTGCGTGACTCTGCTTCTAGTTGGTGTCCAAGATTTGTAGGGTTCTCCTAAAGGAGGCCAGCTTCCTGAGTGGTAAAGTGCCCACCTCTTAGGGTGTTAGCCGGGCCCCTTCAAGGTATTTCAGCCTTTTGCAGAAGTGAGCAGGGCATTAACAGATTAAATATTCTGTAGAATATGTTGCTTGTTTGCAAGATCTGCAGTGGTCGTTTCTGATTTGCTTATTGTTGGCAATGCCCAGTGGGCAGACCAATGTATTCTGTTCATGTCAAGAAGTTGTTCATGCTGAGATGGATATGAACCTTTTTGTCTGTCTCAGATCCAGAATGGATCTCCAACGAGCTAGCAGTCGGTCTTTTTCCCATCTATTCATTTCTTTGGACGTGGCTTCCCATTAGTCCACAAAAAGTCTCTGTGCCTTGAAAAGGTGTTAAAGCGGCTTGCTTTACGAGTCGGTGCGCCTCCCCGTTTGTCCTCTATGCCCTAGTGTCCTGGTAACTCAGGGTTACTTTATTACTATCCACAGCCAGTTGCTCAAGGATATTTTTACCCTCCTAAACTAGCTGAGAGCTATCAAGGCTCCTAGAGTCTTTAGAGCCGCTTGACTATTGGACAGTATGTAAATGTGCTCTCTTAAAATGCCTCTTTAAAGGCTCTCTTGGTCACAGATGTTTATGGCCAGTACCTCAGCTTGAAATATTGTGGGCGTCCTTCCCATCATTGCTAGGGAGAGTTTAACGTTTGGTCCAGTTATGTTCAGACCGACACCTTCTGCTAGCTTCGAACCATCTGTGTACGACAATGATGGGTTATCCGCTTGCGGTAGCTTTGCTTTGCTTCATCTGGAATGTCAAAATTCAGTGATGTTATCATATCTGTTAGTTTACTTTGGGACTCGAGCTTTATAGATTGTAGGATGCGTAAGTGGCTATTCAGATCACCAGGTTTAAATGGACTAGCCTTTAGGCATCTATTTTCGCCTCTTTTTTCTCATATAGGTGAAGAGGAGTACCTCTAAGGCTGCGGTGGGGCAGGTTGACATGGCTAGACAACTTAGCCTTTGTCTCTACATAGACTGTTCTGTGCACTTGTGCAGTAATTTATATAGTCTTTGGCCACCATTCCAACGAAGCGTAGGTGACAATGGGTCTGAGAACTGTTTGATAAATCTAATATACTATTTTATATCCAATGAAGCAAACTTAGGTAGTTCCTTGATAGTAAAGAATGGTATTTGAAACTTTCATTAACCCTCTAATATTTCGCTCCACTTATCTATAAAGCCTTATTTAATACGAAATTCACGGTATAATTTTCCTTTTACATAATTTTCCATTAAATTGCAAGCCCTCCGCGTTCTTCCGAGCTTTCATGTTTAGTAGCTTAATCAGACTTGATTTCAAGTAGCCCACGGCCATTATGCCCACCCAAATGTAGACATAAAATTACAATGAAATTCTCGTTCATCTTTTTGGTAATTCCCTAACGCGTACTTGGGGCAAAATGGCGTAGCCCGTAATATGCGTGATTCCTCTACTGTGTCTATCAGATAAATTAATCAAGATACAGGGTTGGATAAAAATTAAATGAATATATTTCTACGAACTTCAACTGGATGATTTTACGGAACGCTACTTATGAAAAAAATATACTTAATGATAGAATTCATTAAAGCAATCACAATTGACTAACTCGAACTATAATAAACTGTCGCTGTATTATTTATCGAGCACATTATTACCATGGGTCAGCGTTCATTTAGAAAATCATGTTAGACTTTATTGGATAAATTCCCAAAACCCATCCACTCCCCCTATTCCAGATCATTAATACGCATTAAGCAAACATATTGTCACACCCCGTATTATGTGCCCCTTGTTCAAACAACCATAATAATATTGTCTGCGATTTATTACGGTAGCAGATCAACTGGTCTGTGCGTCGATTTTATTTGAATATATTATTTATTATAATATTTTCTTTTGTTCCAGATGGTCAAAGTCATCTCAACCTCTTCAACTCTCGTCAACAAGCAAAGAAGAAACGAAAGTCCAGGACGGCGTTCACTAACCATCAAATTTTCGAGCTAGAGAAACGGTTCCTCTACCAAAAATACCTCAGTCCGGCGGACAGAGACGAAATAGCCCAAAGTTTAGGCCTCACCAACGCCCAAGTGATTACGTGGTTCCAAAACCGAAGGGCTAAACTGAAAAGGGACATGGAAGAATTGAAAAAGGACGTTGAAACATCTAAAATTATGACTGTGCATAACAGTTTTTTAAAGGATGTTCAAGACCTGAATATGTTAAAGAAAAAGGCGATTATTAGTGAGGACGATTGTCCGAAGAATTTGGTTATCGGTGATAAATGAGGAGTCCAAATAGATAAACGAAATTGAAGGAAAAATTTACTGATGAAGAAGACATTGTACCTACGTACTATAAGAAAAGAAAATACATTTTATTTATTATCTGTGAATGAAGTAAGGGATACAGCAACTTCACTTTTTTTTGATGAGATATATTCGAAATTACAAACAAAATTCAGTGAACTAAATTGACAAATAATAATGAATAAATGCCTACTATTCAAGATAATGTTTTCTTAAGCGCGATTCATACTATACGTACCGGTAACGTCACGTCACCGTACCGTCAAATATTCTCCTCGAGAAATCTTGACGGTACCGGTACGTATAGTGACAGAAAATCTCTTTATACAAGTAAAAGTATCATCTTTAGATTCACATTACCGTTCCATCATAAATGTTTGTTAGGTGTGATTTTGCTGTATAATATGTTCTCCAACTCCATAGCCTACAGGCAATTTAAAAAGTTCCTTAAAATTTATTATTTTGTAAAAAAAAATCATTTAATGTATAAAGCGTGTCATTGAGAGATTGTTGCACTCTATTGAACAGTATTTAACTTTTGTGTTTTAGCAAATTTGTATTACTATTTTAAATTACCAATTACTTAAATATCGAATTACCAGGATAACATTGATAACAGTAAACGTATGTACTTACAGATATTTCTAGAATAACTTATTTAAGAAACTGACAATTTTAATTATAATAACTTAGACTTATAAAGAGGCTAAAACTTATTAAAAATTTTAATAAAATGTCTGTATAATGAAACAAGTCGTAAAAAAATTAAATATTCAAATTAAAGGCCACACAATATCCTGGTAATTTGAGAATTTTTATTATTGATTAGGGGCAGTTTTTCAACTGATTGTTATAACGCAACAAGCAGTTAACAAACTGATTCTATGAGTGATTTTCTTTGTCATATCAACTACTTAGTATTGTATAATAATGAAATAACTTAAAAGTGTGTAAATAGTGTGAATAGGCCAATAATAGCTGTTAACGTGTCGTGAAGTTGTACAAAGAGTTATTTAATTTTGTAATATTTATTGTTTCGTCACATCGACGGGTAATTTGCAATATTGTTGTAAAAGAAAAAGTGTAAATTATAATTAATATTAATGTGTCTCGTTTCACAAAGCTTGAGTACTTAAAGCTACCTTTTTTGTGTCTGTGTAAATAAATTGCAAATTAAAAATTAATTGCCTTTGTGTTTTATTTTTTGGCGAAAATTTCCATCAAAAGGCATAATGAAAATGGTTCAAATAGTATAAAAAGAGATCATTAAGATATTTATAGGTGCAAATGAAATTATTCAAGATCAGACAAAATGCAAAATTATGATGGTCAAGCGCACTTCTGAAAAGGAAATCTGAGTACAAGGAACTCAGAAGTGCCGTCAAATCTCAGACCAGGCAGGAATTCTTGGCAAATCAAGCTTTGAATAAAATGCAGATATAGATCCCAGCAGCTTTTGGAGATACATCAACTCGAAAAACAAGGGACGGGAGTGCCTAACGAGGTGAAATATGATAATGAGCCTTATATTGGGAGTTTTGAGATTGCCAATGCATTTGCATACTACTTTGACGGTTTTTTTGAGCCTGCTGATGCGGGCAAACCAGTCAATGTTAATTGGGGCAACTTTGATTTTCCTGAAGTGACGTCTAATGATGTCTTAAGCAGTATAAAGAACCTAAAACCCAAGATGTCAGTGGGTACTGACAACATACCTGCATACCTACATCTTCAAGGGGTGTGCTGATGCATTGACAAATTCACTCGCCCATATTTTCAACTGTGCCATAAACACTGGTGTCATTCCGGAAGTATTTAAGAAATCTGTTGTTACTCCAATTCATAAGAAAGGAGGTACAACGGATGTTGGAAACTATAGACTTTTAGTATTCTTAACCCCATTGCTAAAATTTTTGAAATTATATTGTGTTATCACTTGTCTAATTTGTTTGAGCATCATATTGTTAGGCAGCAGCATGGCTTCATCTCTGGCAGATCCACAGTATCGAACCTATGTGAGTTTGCAAATGCAGCCTCTGCTGAGATTGATAGTGGTTTGCAGTTGGATGTGATCAACACTGATGCAGAGAAGGCGTTCGATAAGGTTGATCACCACCTACTTCTCCAGAAATTGATTCTTACAGGACTGACTGAAAAATCTTTTAAACTCATCAAGTCTTATTTTTCATACAGGTTCTACTCTTTTCACGCATGGAACTATCTGAGCAATATTTTGACAGCTCCTCAGGGCAGCAATTTATCTCCTCTACTCTTTACAATACTCATAAATGACCTACCTGACTGTGTTGGAAATTCTGACTGTTTGTTGTTTGCTGATGACTTCAATATTTTCAGAGTGGTCTCTTCACAGGCAGACTGTCAGGTTCTCCAGAACGATTTATCCATTGTCAGTGCCTGGTTTGCCGACAACAAAATGTTTTTGAATGTCAGTAAATGCTTCTGTATGACGTACACAAGGCGTCATCAATATCTAGAATACAGTTATATAATCTGGATGCTGGAATGCTCGCAAGAAGGAACCACTGTGAGGACCTGGAAGTCACTTTTCAATCCATTATAAGATTTAATTTGCATTATCATAAAATTGCTAACAGGGCATTTGGAGTCAACTATTTTCATAGAATTAATCTTTGATAAATCTCTATAATGATAATGCCTTTGTCAGGCCCACTTGGAGTATGCATGTGGTATCTGGTCACCCACAGCTGACGGCAACAACTTGATAGAAAGAGTCCAAAGGAAATTTTTGAGATATTTGTATTTCAAACAATATCATGTATATCCTATATTTCCTCTGCTTAAGTGATATGGGAGTATGTTGGAGACCTTCAAGCTTCAGTATCTGAGTAGGAGAAGGGCAGTTCAAACCTTACTTTTCATTTTCCATATAGTCAATAATACTAAATATACAGGCTGTGAATTTATTAATCCTATCAAATTTCATATTCCTAAAATTAACCTTAGACTAAGGAACTACAACATTTTTATGATAGACGGTCAACCGCTGAGCCACATCCTGATAGAGTATAGCGATATCTTAGAGAAGTGTAACATAGATATTTTCAAGACAACTGTTGCCTCAATCAAAAAATTGACTAGAGGATAATACACACCATTATGTTTGAGCCCAATTGCAGTGATTTAAATAACCTACATCCCAACATTCCCTTCACGTTGGAACACCGAATTAACTTTCTTGATCTAACTATCCACAAAAACTTGAATGGATTACACATCTCATTTTACAGATAACCAAGCCAAACTGATCATGTGATCCCTTTCCACTCTAACCATCTTCCCCAACATAAAATGGCCTCATTTTAGTGCTGAACACCTCTTTCTCCAGCTAACTACAACGAAGAATTGAAAACTCTTCAACAGATTGCATTTAACAACAAATATTATGACCCCAACCTTATTGAAACCCTAATCAACAAAATCAAACTTAAGAAAGAAATATTTCCAGACATTACTTTTTCAGTCCCATAATAAATTAATTTCTTAATTTAAAAAAATTTCCAAAATTTTTCTTGAACATCCAAGTGACCTACACCTCTTCTACAAGACTAAGATAACTTGGGTTATTGTTTGGTCAACACTGAGGACAAAATTGACAAGCTAGCCAATAGTGGTGTTTATAAGTTGGAATGCGATTCCTGCAGTTGTCCTTATGTACGACGTACTTGTAGACCAATAAAGATACACACTGCTGAACACTTAAGCAGACCCACTTCTGTTTTTGGTAAACAAGATCCACGAATCACACATTCAGCCCTGAATCCAATTCGAAAAATTTTTCACCAAATTAGTTCCAAGAACTACAATCGCCTAGATTTTCTTGATGACTCACATATACAATGAGCTAGAAAGTAACCCCTCGTGTCTAAATATACAAGTCAATCTTAATATTCCCCTCATCCCTCTGTATAGGAGATTACATTACCTACTAACCCAATTTGATATATTAAAATTTGATTTCGCTGAATTCAACCGTTGGAAGTTAGATAGAAAATTAATTAAAAAGACAACGCCTTTCAAGCTTGCGACACTGAAGGTCTGTTGTCACAAGAGTCTCTGACAGTTTGCAAACTGTCAAAAGCAATCACTCAGCTAAGTTACCGATTTTTCTTAGAACGACGGCATTGACGACATGTATGGACAATGCTTCCCGACAGTTTACAAACTGTCAGAGACTCTTGTGAAAACAGACCTTAAGTCCAAAGATGAATTTGGTCCTTAGTATTATCTAACTACCAGTGTAAAATGTTCCATATTTTGATGGTGATACCATTCGCAGTTTATTTAAAAAAAAAAAGTCAGTTGCTGGAATTTAGAATTCTATGGTGATAATATGTAATATATTAATCTTGCTCTTGTACCAAAGATATAATATCGCATCTATGGACATACAATTTCCATACATTGAATTTTTTTCTAGTTCTTCATTGTAAAACAAACAATTAAGACTAGGTAGTTTTTATTAATATCGTACGTAGGTATCACTGCATAATGGAAAGTACCCACCGGCACACACCGTTTGTTCTTTCGCTTATCTCCCGGCTCAACTTTCAACTGATACACATGTTTAACTTCATTTTTAAACGTATTTCCGCTTGTCGCCTTAAATTATCTTTTTGATTACTTGAGATATGAACTAATTTAACTGGCATGAGCTCCACACTCACACACAGGAGATTTGATTTAAACGACCATAGACATTTATTACTCCTATCCTATGATGTCTGTTCGTATGGGCGGCAGTTTATATTCTCATATGTATAAATAGTAATTGAAGAGGTGCAGAAATTGAAAGCTAATTCCGTTTTGTTTTTGGAACGTTCAGATGGCGAATGGTTGTCTATGATTTCCTGGAACAAGACAAAATAATCATGGATCGAGAATATTAGATTATAAATATACCTATAAATGAATGAGATTATTATGGAAAATATATATTCTAGTAGAACAAGAGTATTTGCATTTTTAGAGGGAGAAAATACAGTTTCAAGTCAAGAAAGGCCCAACTTGATTGTTCGGCACAAAAATCCGTTTGCGAGCTGAAAAACTTAATTGGAGTGTTGGAATTAATCATTTTCACATTGTACAATCAATTTAGGTGTATGGAGAAGGTAAGCTCGTTTGTGTTACAAATAAAATTTTATTACTAACTTCTCTAACACGTTCATTGTCCTCCTCATATTTCTTTTTTGTAACCAATAATGAGTCGTGGAACGTCTCACAGGTGTTAAAAATTGACATGTGCCCTCAGATAAAACAATTAAAAAATATATCTCACAAGTTTCCTTCAAATTTTATCAGCTATGTTCCCTGACACTAGCGAAACATTGAAAATACTACACCGTTTATGCGAAAAAAAAAACATTCTGAGTACCTAGTGAAAGTGATAGTGACGTGAAAGTCATTGATGAGTGAATTGGCAATGTGGGTAAAAACGAATATTCATTATCATCATCATAGGCAATCTCTCGATAAGATACGATAGTATGATTATCTTCTATTCTGAAAAACCGTCCTCAGGAAAACAGAAGCGCTCTGACATCAGCACTCCATCTCCAGCCAGGACACACCATGCCAAACAGAGCAAGTGTGATCCGGAGGATAGACCCAAGACCTTCAAAGAGGCTCTCACAGGCTCATCCAGCAGACCCTAACCCGGGAGATTTGGAAATCCCTACCGGGCAAAGAGCCACAGGTCGCCAACAGCGTCTTTCTAGGGGGGGTGCTGATCGTGGTTTGTGCCAACCAGGATTCCAAATCTTGGCTCCTGAAAACAGTTCCCACACTAGAACCCTGGGAGGCAGCAGCCCTCAGGGTTGATTGTGCCAGGAATGTGGCCAAAACTGCCAGGAATCTTTTTCCGCTGAACACACCAGTCAATTAAGCACTCTTTTTTTTTCAGTTCACTAACAAACTTAATTCCATGAAAATTCCAGTTTTCTCAGGATATCTCGGTAATGCAAGCAAGAAGAGGCTGTGGTGTGGGTATATCTTAATCTGGAGAGATATCCAATGGCGGATGTCAAGCTCTACCTCTAAAAAAAAAATCTTCGATCTTTCCGAAAATGTACTGGCCTACTAGATAATTTGTAGTGATTGCCAACACACTTAAGAACATCTGGGA